TGTCAGGTTCTATATTGTTCTTTATGTTTAAAATTAATGCATGTTTATGTGATGAGCCTTGAGGTTGAATTTTCTCAATTACACAACACTCTAATTTTTGTTTTCCAAGTTATAGATGCATATGCCTTGAATTTGAATGAATTGATATTAAAGAGTGGTTCCAATCTGATATGCTTTGAGTGCAGAAAACACTTCAACTTTTTTTTAAAAGAAAAAATTAAAATATTTAAAGTTTGAACCTTTTTAATTTTTGCAGAATTGAAGAAAAATGAAGAGAAGGTTGAAATTGCAAGCATATTTCAAATGAAGACTCGGACGACTACCAGTGCAGGCCATTGAGGGGCGCAGACTGTCTGCCGTCCGGCCAAGTCCCTCGACCAGCTCGGCCAAATACCAGTGCAGCCTGTTGAGGGGGACATACTGCTGGCCGGCCAAGTCCCATGACCACTTCAGCCTACTACCAGTACAACCTGTCAAGGGGCGCAGACCGCTGGCCGGATGGCCAAGTCCCTCGACCAGCTCGGCCAACTACTGGTGCAGCCCGTCTTTAAATAATCCAGATAAAAATCACAACTGTACATCCACAAGGATACCTGTGCAAGGACTTGGGTGGTATGCAGCTTAGAACTGTGACCGAAATCACTGCTTAGAACCTTCTTTTTTTTTTTTTGAAGTACAGCTAGATCATGGCGCTTACATGAAAAACTAGAGAGTTAAAATCTAGGCAGTGATTCCTATTTATAAAAGTTCACAAGAGTAGAATGCAGTTTACTAGGTAATTTTACAAAAACTCTTATGACTATATGCTAAAAAAAATGTATTTTAAGAAAACAACCATTCTGAGAAATTTCAATCTGTTATGATGGCTTGATGAAAAATAAGGTAGACTTTAAAACATGAATGTGCATTCATTCAGTTGTATTTGACAATGAACCAAGCTCTCTTAATCATGTTTATAAAATAAAATTGTAAGTGCTTTAATTTTTTTTAAATAATCTTTTTTGTAAAAATTTTAATAATCTTTTTGTAAAAATTTTAATGAGTAGCTTTTTTAAAGCCTATAATTGAGTAATTCCACCACAGGTTAACATGAAGTGTATAATTTTATTGTAACTTTTATTAGGTATAACTTTTTGTAGTTATAACTTTTTTTTAGGTATAACTTTTCTGTAACTTTTTCATAACTTTTTCATAGTTATAACTTTTCTGTAACTTTTTCATAATCTTTTAAGTTATAACTTTTCATGGGTATAACTTTTTTTAGTTATAACTTTTTCATAACTTTTTATTAAGTATAACTTTTTTATAACTTTTTAAATAACTTTTTCCGGGTATAACTTTTTTGTAACTTTTTCCACCGTTTATTTGGGTATAACTAAAGTATAACTTTGTAACTTTTTTATAACTTTTTGTGTAACTTTTAATAATTATAACTTTTTGTAGTTATAACTTTTTTGTAACTTTTTGCACTTGCTGTATTTATGTTGAAATAAAAAATGAAAACTTATACAAAAGTTATAACTTTTTTGTAACTAAGTTATAACTAAATTATACCTCACTTAAAACAGGCGGTTCCAAACTCCGATAACTTAGTTATAACTTTTTTGTACCTTTTTTTAGTTACAAAAGTTATAACTAAGTTATAATTTATTTCGGTATGGGAAATGTTTTACAAATATCTCTTGTTTCATTTAAGTGTGATGAATAACAAACTTCAGATAATTAAAAAAAATGTTGCTGTGCTTATTAGATTATTACAAATAGATGTGGCGCTGAATTTTGAATACACCAAAAATTAAGTATGCACATTATATAATATTCCTTGTCATACTCACTGATATTTGATTTTCCCTTAGAAGACTGAAATTTATTTTATAATAATGAAGAGTAATTTTTATGATTTCATTTTGTAAGATGTGCGTATGACTGGATAATACATAAATACTGAACATAGAAAAACTTGAAATGTAAGTTACTTTAATTGTTTCAATATATTTTCACAATACATAATAATTTATGAACAGGACAATAAATATCTTTGATTTTTATGTTAAACTTTGTAGAGATTTGACTCATGAAATATATTAAATTACTGACAAATCATAGCTCATCTGAAAGCTCAAATGTTTTTTTCTGATCACATTTTCTGTGGCATTTCTCTGTCCATGACCTGTCTGTAAACTTTTAACAATTTTGTCTTCTTCTCCAGAAACACTAACACCAATTTCAACACAAAACGTGACACGTTAAAGGCATTCTTGAACGAAGGAGATTCAAGTTTATTCTAATGAAGAGCTATGTCCTCTTTCAAGGGGAGATAATTAAGAAATAAACAAGCTATGGTGGGGTGATTTAAAAATCTTTTTGCAAAGAACCCATGGGAATATATAGGGAAAAATCTTTAAAAATGTATTTTCTTGAGAACAGCAAGGCAATAGTTACATTGATATGCATGGGTGGCTAACGCCTTCACATAGTGCAGATTCAATTTTTTTTCAAATCATGGCCCCTTGGGGTTGGCTGGAGTCATTGTAAGGGATCAAAGTTTAATATGCAAATATAAAAGAAAAAAGTCTTGAAAAATGTTCTTCTCAAGAATAGCAGGGCCATGATCAGCCATACCCAGTATTCATGTGCAAACATCCTCAGATAGAAAAAATTAAAGTTTGTACAAAACATAACCCTAAGGGGTAGGGTTGGGATACAAGAGAAGAATGAGTCTAACAAGCATCCTTAAGTAGTATAGATTCAAATTTGTTCAAATCCTGGCCTCTAGGCATATAGGGTAGGGCCACAATGGGGGATCAAAGTTTAATGTGGGCATATATGTAGGTACAGTAATGGTCTTTAAAAATCATCTTCTCAGGAACAGTAGGGCAATTTAAGTTATATTCTGACATATACAAGCATACTTAGATTTTCCAGATACAATTTTGTACAAATCAATTGTCTCCAGGAATAGGGTGAGGTCACAATAAGGGATTAAAGCTTTGAATAGAAATTTATAGGAAATAAGGGACACATAAAAACATATTACCGGTATTATGCAAACATTCCTAAGATATGTGGATTAAAGTTTTTGTTGTTGTTGTTTTATAGATTCAAAGGTTAGTGTGAGGCTCTATGTAAATACTGGATACATGCAGGGTTATTTTTGCCCCAATTATTTTCGCACTTGCGAAAAATATTGCCGTTTTAAATTCGCCCAGTCACAGTTTTGTGTAAGAAATTATGCTGTGTTCTTTGAATTCCCCCATTTTAAATTCGTCCACCTGTGATTAGGGCGAAAGGGGCGAAAATTTTCCTGTATACAGTATTGTTAATGATCAAATTTAACCTATTGCAACAACAAGGCAATATTATTAAAGCACCTCTTTGGATTTAAGTTCAGTATAAATGTCATGATTGCTGCTAAGGTGGAGCTGCACTGTGGGGTCAAACTTTTTTTTCATGTGTCTGAATAATGAGGGGAAAAAATCTTTTAAAAATCTGATGAAAAGAGCCAATCTGCAACTCGTGTGAGCATTCACAGTGGTCCATATGGGCCTCTTGTTTTGTGAGTATATGTATGAGGATGATTAGGGAATGGAAGTGTTTTTTAATTATCCCCTAGAAACAAAGTTTGAGGGGATATAGTAACATGATTGTAGTGTATGAGTGGGTTAATTTGTGTGTGTTTTCATGGTTAACAGAAAAAATAATTAATACAAATTGGGATTGATGTCATTTGCTTGGTTGTTCATAACAGGAATGTGCTGCCTTGTTAGGGGATGCTCAGTTTTTCTATGTCACTTTGGGCCGCCAGAGAAACCCAAAAACTTTCAAAACTGGTAATAGAACATTTAATTTTTATAGAGCCGAAAAATGGTTGAAATATTGCAGACTCAACTTAAAACAACATCAATCAATTGTTTTCCTTGTTCTCTTTTTTAAATGCCATTGGCCATGATGCCTTTGAGGCCTTCATTTCTTTTTAGGAATTGATAGATGCTAGGATACTAACCCATACATTAAGATTTTTGAAACATATTTGATGCATGTAGTCATTCCCATGGCTTCATTGACTCTTTTTAGTACAGGATCCTGTAACAGCCCTATCAATTGGGAATTTTGAATTGAAAAAGTGGCAAATTTGGAAGTATTGATGACTTTTATTTTACTGTAGCATAAAGACAATAAGAATGTATGCTTATCCTCTATTCATATGACTGTTTAATTATGAACCATTTTAATCTCAGAATTCAAGATCTAGCTTCTATAAAAAACACTGAAAAATTTAATTTGCTTGTCATTTGGGAATTCTTATACCTAAGAGTAATTTCAATTGGGACAGGGTCCTTTACCAGACCTGCATGCAATGGATATTAAGTCATGATTCCATTACCTGGAAAGAATTTAAATTTACAGATATTTTGATATGCTGACTCGTTTTATGATTAGTAATATTAGATCTAATGAATAATTGTGTGAGAAGCATTAATTATTAATTATAAGTTTTTAATTTGTAACTTGTCAAACTTTTAATAATGATTTTTAAAAATTAATTGTTCATCATATACACTATATTGGAACATTTGAAATTGTAATGTATGCATGTTTTAGAACAGTAAGAATTTAAAGTCAGACTCTAACTTTTGAGTGCTGTCTTTTGTTCAAGCTAAGTAAAAGTGAAACCCTCTATTGTTGGAACTGTCACAGTGAAAACCCTGCTCTAATGGACTGGCTTTGAAAATCTATTCTTTCTGTATTAAATTTTTTTAATCCGAATAATCTTGGCTGTATGTGATTAAAATAAATATCTTCTTAACACCATTGAGATCTGATTAAAGGCCTTGAATATATGTAGCGGTTATGTAAAATATCTACCCACTTAATCAAATGTTTCAGTGGCGTTCAGTGTTTGAGTCGCTAGAATTAACTTGAATGTAAAGCTGAATTTTATTTGATAATACCAAACAGTAGATTAAGAGCTTTATATCTTAACATTACGCTGTGTATTTGAATGTCTTTTGAATGTTTATTCTGGAGAAAATCTTTTATACAGTGGGTAATGAATGTGTCGCCTTCAACTATTGGTTAAAAACTCCACCCTGGTAACTATATTGACATCTGGAAATTGACGTCTGCATGTAGCAATTAAATTTCAATGGAGAGTTGTGGCTAATAGGTTACCTAAATAAATTATTTATAGACATATTGATGTTTTACAACTGAATTTTAGATCACTAGCTAACCAAATGAAAATGGAGATAGACATTTTATGATGCTGTGTTTCGGTAATTAATCTGGGATTAATTACGAACAATAATTAGGTGATCCTCACATTGTTCTAATTGGGAGACTTTGTATCAAAATGCCGAAAAAAGGAAATCCACGTGATTATAATTCCAGCATATTCTCTCCTCGATTGCCACCTCTGAGGCCAAAACTTTTCAAGGAAAATCGTTTACAGTTGTATGAGATTGTAAGGCAGGCTGAGAAAGGTAGGTATGGTGACGATCTGTATTATGCGGAATATGTTTGATTAAACACAAAATTCTGTAGTCAGCTCTGAAACATTTTATTTGTCCTGAAACTACTATGAAGTAGATGTAATGCATTTATACATTATACATTTTTTTTACATAGGTAATGGTTGATTATATCCATATAAATTACCTTTAGTTCTGAGCATTAAAAGTGAAATTCTTGCAGAAACTTTAAATTTTCAGTATATAAGCTGAGAAAGTTAAATGCATTGACTCAATTTAAAAATGATTTTAAATCGGTTACACTCTAATTGTATTTATGCTAAAAAGAAATGTATTGCAGGTGAATTGAAAATCAGACAACAGAAAAACTTCAATTTTTTAATAGAATAAAGAATTTTGAAAAAAAGATTTACTATAAAAAAACTGAAGATGTATTTTAATTTGAAGAGAGAAAAAAACATAAAACAATTTTGTATTGCTAGGTGTTCTTAATTTGTATAAAATTACAAATAAAAATGGTATAACTTTCATATTTTTCCCTTCAGTTATCTGGAAGATGTGAGAAAACAATCAAAACATGTTCATTGATTGCAGTGCTATATTAGGAATTCATATCGGTTAATAAAGTTCTAGCAAATATTTATTGGCTCCAAGAAAAGTTTATTGACTTAAACTTCTCCGTATGTGACAAAGACTTCTCTCTTGATGTAAAGTTTGAACACATAATAGAAACTCATAAAAGTTTAAGACCTTGGGATTAAGGAATTGTTCTCATTGCTGACTGTCTTGTGTCTTTTTTTCTTGATGAACCAGTTATATTTATCTACAGGCATAATATATAAGTAAAGAACAATCTTTCAATACCTTCTTTGAACAATGGGGGATTTTATTGATTGCTTAATTCTTTTGTTACATCTTCATTTTCCTGGTATGAATTCAAAGCATTGATTTAGAATAAAAAGAAATCACAAAGAGATATTGAATTATTCACTTTTCAAATATCTAACATTAAAAAAAATATTTTTTTTTTCTTTTTTATTTTTTTGCAAGCTCAAACCAATTGTTACAATTTTAAACATTGTAAGTTCTGAGGGCTGAAAAATTGTATTGTTCCTGATAAGAGAAGCCTCTGCGCTGATATTTTTCTTCTATAAGTGGCAGAAGTGAAGTACGGTGTACAACTAAGAAATTTGCCCCAGTAAAAGGACAGAGTACTTAGAACAATGAAGAAAGGGGAGTAACTGTGATCTATCAATTGAAATCAAATATTTACAAGTTATATACATTTGAAAGAAAAGCCCTCCTCCCCTCCTTTCATTAATATGTACATTTTTTCCCTCAAGTGGATTAAATTTAATTTATTATATATATTAAACTATTATGAAATGTGATTGTTTTTAAGGATAGGAAGAGGGGTGGGGGGGGGGGGGGGGGGGGAGGGAGTATATAACGAGTAAAGATGCTAATACATGTAGTGCTAAGTGCTTATTGGGATAATTGCAGTCAGAGCTTCCAGAACAATATAAGGGTGAAGTTCATTATAAGTTGTTTGAAAAATATTGAATATTTAGAGAAAAAGTCCTGTGGTGTGTTCTCCACTGGTAACTGAATACACAGAGTAATTGTTTATTTTCTATGTATTTACTAAGCACAGAATCTCTTCTTGTTGCCATATTTTTAGTTTGTCAGGAGATTTAAAACAAAATTCCTTCTATTGTTCCTAAGTCTGAAATTAGAAATGGTGCAAGCAGGTTACGGGTTTCAAGTCGCAGTTTATTTAATATTGCCTTTATCATTAATCTCTCTGTGCAAATTGTGTTTTAAAAGCATGTTTAAGATTTTAATTTATAGGCTTTCTTGTTAATGGATTGTAAATTTACATATCAAAAATACATTTTTTTTCTCTCTGGACTGAATAAATCAATATTACTTAAGTTGTCTTTTATTGAGAGAAATATGGGCTAGAAAATGCAAAAAGAGGAAGTGTAATCTAAACCTATACTTTCCTACAAAAGTTCTTTCTCAATTAAGCTTTATTGAACATTACACAGAATGGTGAGTATTCACATTTTCTCCACCTTAATTTTTCTTTTCTTTCAAAGTACTACTACTTAAGCGGTCATGGCAAAATGCTTAAGAGATATCCCTGTCCTTGAAAACAAGTTGTTTAAGTTATACAGCCCTCAAGAGGACTTGACAGGAATAGGCAGACTTCTTAAAGAATAGCAAGATTATATAATTTGTGAAATTTAAACAGATATGCAATCAGTTATGCAATCATTAATACAAAGAGCCTTTGATTTGGTCCAGGCCACAGGAGGTAATTTAAGAGGAAGAGATAGAGGGAGAGCAACATGAGTATCAGGTGAACTTTATGGCCCATGGGCCTCTTGTCAGAAAAGCATTTTAGTAATCATGGTTATCCAAACATTGCGGTTACCGTAATTGATCAATTCAAGATAAAACTAAATGGATTGAATGAGGATGAATTACTGCACATGATTTTGTGTATGACTGTAATTGGTCAAATTGAGTGGATACTAGAAGTCACATAAATGTGTGCACTGAATATGCATTTTCTTGTGACTCTCTCATATGAAAAAATTTCCCATCAGTGAAAATGGGAGATAACTCTAAATTATTATTAATTGCATGGGATACACACACCCACAAAGAAAAGAAAAGGGGGAAAAAATGCAGTGTTCCTATCTCTGCAAAAATATAAAGTTACACAAAATATAAATGATCCAGGTTTAGTTGTTTAAAAAAAAAACAATAAAGATTTTTTATTTTTATTTTTCAGATTACAAATTTAAGAAAGATGAAGTGTTCAAACGAATGAAAGTCACAACATTTGTACAACTTGTAAGTCTCAATGAAATATCTCTTGCTAAAAACATAATAAATGTTGAATTATATGTAAGCTTAAATTTCATATGCTTTAAATAGTATCTTGGATTTAATTTGTCCCCCCCCCCCCCCCACCACTACCACCACCCTCAAATGAATTATGAATTTCTTTTTTTTCTATGATTGTCATTATTTTTAATTTTCATTTACAGATTGTACAAGTAGCAGAGTATGAAAACAGGCATAGTACACAGTCAACAATAGGTAAATTGACAAATAAAAAAAAGACTATGTTTATATTGAATAACAGAGCTCAAAAGACATGATATAACCCAGCTGTATTGACATTAGCATCTCACAAATACAACATGTAATATTCTACAGTGAATTAGAACACAGCAGGGATATTGTGATTGAAATCAAAGACTAGTTGAGTATATATACAATGTATATGAGTGTATTGATATACACTTCTTTGTGATATGATACAGGAATTGGGATGTTTTTCAAAGTTGAGATTTATTGCAAGTTTTTTTGTCCTCCATTTGTGCAAAAGTGAGGGGACGTTAAATCTCATATGTCTGTCTGATGTCCTTCTGCCGGTCTGTCACAAAAACTTTAACCTTGGTCATACCTTTTGAAAGAGAAGAGATGGGGCTTTCATATTTTATGTATACATTACTTAGATGAGACCTTTCCAAATATACTATCATTTTTCACCCATTGACCTTGGCATTTGACCTACTTTTTAAAAAATATTAACAGTTGTCATAACTTTTTATTGAGAGAAGATAGGGCTTTCATATTATTTATGTGCATTGCCTATGACAAGACCTTTCCAAGCATACTATGATTTTTGACCCTGTCACCTTGACCTTTGAGTTAGACCTATTTTTAAAACATTCAGAATGATTATAACTTTTGAATGAGAGAAGGTAAGGCTTTCGCATTCTTCAAATACATTACTTTGACAAAAGCTTTGCAAATATACTATGATTTTTGATCCCCTGACCTTGACCTTGGATTTTGACTTGCATGTACTTTTAAAAAAATTACTATGGTCATAACTTTTGAATGAGAGAAGATAGCTAGGGCATTAATATTTCACATGTGCATCACATGACCAGACATTTCCAAGTGTTCTAGAAGAGACAGGACATTTTTTTTTTCAGATGTGCATTACATGTAATAGTAACAAGACCTTCAGAATGTTTCATGATAATGTGTTTGACTTCATGACCTTGCCATTTGATGCAGATGTATTTGTCTTCATGACCTTGACATTTGATGCAGATGTATTTGTCTTCATGACCTTGACATTTGATGCAGATGTATTTGTCTTCATGACCTTGACATTTGATGCAGATGTATTTGACTTCATGACCTTGACATTTGATGCAGATGTATTTGTCTTCATGACCTGGACATTTGATGCAGTTTCCTGAAACATTTATCTTAGTCTTAACATTTATTAATTGAAAAAAAAATTCATGTTTGCCTCAATTGTAACTTACAAATGTTTTAATTATGATACTTGACCTTATGACCTTGACCTTGAAGTTTGATAAAATTGTCTTGGTCCTAACTTTATTCAAAAATTGAATTTTTTTCCGATGAAAAGACAAGACCATACAAACAGACATGATAGCTACAGTTTGCCATAATTGCATCCCAACCAGTAAGACCCCAAAAGCAAAGGACCACAATTCTCTGAATTTGCTTGAGATCTATTTCTAAGTTTTTCATGGTGGAGATTATTATAAACCCTGTCTCTTCAGGTAATGGAAACTACACTGACCGGCCAGACACAGCAGATCTGGAGGTTCAACACATACAGAGGGGCAGCCCCGCCCCCTCACTAGCGGTCACAGAGGGGGACTATGGGGAGGGACCCAGAACAGGAGCCAGGTCAACACTTCAGGGGTAAGAAATACTCCAAAGCAAAATGGATCAATCATTTTATCCTTGTGGACTACAGAAGGATAGTGTGTTAAGGAGGGATTCTTCTCATATTTCTTGTATTTAAAAATTAATGAAATTTTCATGGATTGAAGATGACATTATCATTTAGTGATGGTATCAATTAGATTAAATTTGACCGTTTTATTTTAAAAGCAAGGCCAGGTCAAGGTCATTATTTTTTTCCTTGACCTTAAGAATAAAAAAATTACTGATTCCAATCATTCAATGCCTACTTCTATTTCATAATATTAAATGTTTTTCTTTTGCATAAAAAGATATTACCATAATATAGGGTCTATCAGATGATACTACCAAATTGACATAAATAATTTAACTAAAATAGATATTGGCTAATCCGAATTTCCTCTATTTTTCTTAGATTTATAGGATATATTAGTTTATATGCTTCATATATTTAAATTTTTATTATTTTCACATATGGTAAAGTCTTCATACATGTATAAAGATACAAATTGATAGAAAACCAAAAAGGTTTGAACGTTTACTAAGAGAGAAAAAACACTTTTTTGGTATTTTTTGCTCAAATCTGTACTTAGATTGGAAGCCTTTAAAAGTTAACAAAATTAGAGTTTGTTTAGAAAATCATATCTATTTGATATATTTTATAACTTCAGTCCATTGTTATTAATTTTACTTACATTTGAAATTTTCTTTAATTATCTTTGATTGTTTAAAAATCTGAATTAAATTCTTTGTTCTATTGTAATTTTGAGAAGCAGAATAGGAGATAAAATAGTCCCTGCTAAATTTCAAACGCAGTTAACCATTTCTATTTAAAGTTGTACATTTGTGATGGGGGAAAATGTGATCTTTTAAATCTCTTACATCTAAATATATAAGACATATAAGCAAATATACTTTGAATATTTCATCTAGTCAGAAACCAGACAAGAATCCTTTCTTAAGTAAAATTGATAAAAAATGACTTTCTTATTTCCAGAGTTGTGAGGGGTGTAGGTGAGGTGGATACTGCCAGACCTGCCCAGCCCCCAGCTAAAGTGGAGGATTTCTCCTGTCCCTATCTGCTGCTTGACATCAGAGATTCTGATGCCTTTGAGGAGTGTCATATAATCACAGGTTTGTTTGTGATGAATTATAGAATCACTGTCATTTTTGTTGATTATTTATTTATTTTTTTTTTTTTTTAAGATCAACATGTGACATGGCCAGGACATATTATGCCCCTGTAGGCAGAGATTCAGGACACGTAGTTTTTGATTTGACCATCTGTTTGTCTTCTGTTTTTCTATTAATTATGGTTTGTCTGTCTCCAAAAACTTTAACCTTGCCCATAACTTCTGAACGGTTTGTGCTAGGGCTTTCGAATTTCACATTTGTATTTCTTGTAACAAGATCTTTCTTTGGGTACCAACATTTTTGACCTCATGACCTTGACCTTGGAGTTCGACCTACTTTTGATAAACTCTCACCTTGGCTCTGAGCTGCCATAAGGAAGCATCAGTGTTTCACAAACACACCATGTGTTTCGGCCTCTCTATTTTTTTCCACTTTACTTTTCATCATGGTAGAAACATGCAGGGTTAAATTCAAAGTTTTCTGTCATGTCAAGCTTAAAATCGAACTGCAGGAATGTCACAGGTTTTAACATAAAGTTTGATAACTAAAGTGCATTTCTTAGAAGATTCAAATTTTCCTCCTTTTTTCCACTAGTGAAATGAAAATTTCAAAGTAGAATGATAAATTATTATCATGTCAAATTATTATGATATATCAAATTATATATGTTGATTATCCAGATAGAGATAAATTTAATGACTTACACTCAAGGTTCTCATTTTGCTACTTCTCTATTTCTTATTTCTATGAGCAACTGTAAAATGTCAATTCTTGAAAGTAAAATTGCATCGATTATGCAGTTCTGTAACTTACAGTGTATAAGTGTCATGCAGGGTGTTATGATTGTGTTTTAATGAATTTTTTTAATATTTATTCAAGATATGATGTCTTTGCTATGATATCAAACATCAGGGGGGAAAATGCATAAATTAGAAGATTTTTAGGTTTGAAATTTGGTCATTATATAAAGATGTGTGTACATGCATATTCAATATTGAATGTTTTTATTTACAGCAAAGAATTACCCCAAATCCATGTTATCAAGGGCAACAAACTACGAATCTAAAGACATGTTAGCATTTGTATCCTTTTATCACTATGTCGAACCAACTGCAAAATGAACAGTGTCTATATAAAAGTTGTTAAGGTATATTTCTATTTCACTGTCTCACTGTAATGTCTTCAATTGTTGTACATAAAAGAATTATCATAAAGAAAAAGAGAAACCAATGTTCTTTTTATATACATGTTGGAATTATAAATCTTAATATAAAATTGATAAAAAGTAATGGGAGGTACCTTCCAAATTTACAAATAGTTTCTGTTTTAAGTCTTAAGATAATGGTGATTAATAGTCTGTATGTGAAGTTTCACTTAACACTGATTAGAAAAACCAACCAGGAAAGATCATAGTTATATATGATGAAGACGAGAGGTTAGCGCACGAAGCAGCAACAACATTAGTACAGAGAGGATACGATAACTTGTTCTTATTATCTGGAGGTAAGATAGGTGGATTGTGTGGGTGGGTGGGGGGGATGCTAGCTTTGTAAAATGAAATATAAATTTTTGTTTTGACCATTTAATCAACCCTTTATAATGAAATTAAGATAATCGTTTGAAATTTTCAAAAGAAACATTTTTTTTACAAAACAAAGTTTTGAACTCTATGCTAAATACAAATTGACCATGTAATGATTGAACTACATGTACATAGAGAGATGTAAAACAAGTACTTAATTTAAAATGTTCAGTTCTCAAATAAATGATGGATAAAACAACTTGAGTTGTATCCCTTATGGCAAGCTTACATGTCACCTGAATTAATTTAACTTAATGAAAACCTTAAATGACACTTTTTCACATTTGCTAGACATTATCATGTGGATGATACATTGTATACTAGGCTTTTTATCAGTTACAATACATTGTCACCTTTTGCCAAATGTAGGAATGAGGATAGCCTACCGGTATTTCCCAGAGGGTCTGATGACAGGGACTCCAAACCAAAATATCACAGAAAGTACCAAACCCCCCAAAACCAAGGAAAAGGCCTCCCAAAAAACCTTCACGACCTTTGACCTGGAGAAGCTCCACACCCAGTTAGACAATCAACTGTCAGACAGGAGTGTGGGAAGTAAGTACAGGGTAATCTGCCCTTGATAAGAATTTGCTCTGAGGACATCTTGTGTTATCTTCCCTCAATAAACATGTACATATATATGTGAGCGAGGATTACACTCTCTTGATCAAAAACTTATTCAGCATATTAAAATCAAAAGTTTCAAGTATCTACCCTTATCCATATTCATGGTGCATATAAAGAGAAAAAAAATATTGTGAAATCAGAAATAGATTTGATAATTAACATTTCTTTAATTACATTATTTTAGGCAGGGGTAAGTATATTGTCTTGATGCTTAACATTGCATGTATCTGTATTTATTCCTGAAATTGGATGAAAATAGGGTTTAGTAATGTAACTTTGGGAGACGAAATTGGAATCTATAATGCTATAATAAAACTAATACAAATCTTAACGTGTACAGTCAATCATATTTACATGTAATAACAAAGGGAAGGCTTTTCTCTGTAATCTTTATAATATGTATCTCACAACTGAAGAAAAAATGAAATGGTATCTCAGTAGTTCAAATTAAGTTGTGATTTTGTTGATTATATAAAAGACCATTAATATTATGTTTATGCTTTATGTATATTCATAATATTTTATACCAGTATCAAAAACAACATCACAGGTATAGGAATTTTTCAGAGAATGGCATGTGTGTTTTTTACAAGAAGCATGCTCAAATTTTGAACAAACTATTTTGACTGCAGTTGGAATTTTAGCAAATTGAATGTTTATTTCTAAACCCAGACAATGTTTTGTCTCTTTTGTCAGAATAAAGAAAATTTTAGAATGTGTATATCATTAAAGTCTTGGTTTGTTCCCTTCTCTCTAAATGGAGAAAAACTGCCATTATACATGTAGTTAATAATTTGAATTAAAATATTCTTAATCAAGTAGGTCTGATAAAAAATGGTTTTGGATCCTTTCTGTATTGTTTTCTAATGAACGAAATAGAATTGTCAAGGATAATTTTTACAAAGATGTAGCATAATTACTTAGTCTGTTTTGTCACCATTTCCTAAGTTCAAATATAATTTTCTATGATTAAATATTTAATATACATATTATATACTTTTATTTACATCAATTTACTTAGTAACTTTATATTTTGTCTTGGCTTGTAATGATTTCTTCATATAATTTTCTTTTATTTAGGTCGATTGTCTAATGCCAGTACTATGTCAAGTAGAATGGGTCAGACCAGTACGTCCCGGACCACTAGTAGTGTATCCGGGACAGTAACGGGACGTCCACCCTTCAAACCGTGCTAGTCTCCTCAACCAAATCCCAGACTCTGTGCTTGACATGTAGGTTGATTAATAATATCGTCATCAGAAATGAAAGGATAATTTTGTAAGAAGCAGCTACATGTATTTTAATTCATGTTACTATAATTTAGTGGAAATTTATTTGTTGAATTTTGAGAGGAATCATTAATGATTAGGTTGATTGTTCATTAAGTACATAGGGCCTTATAAATTACTATTTTTTTCGTGTGTTTAGTTTCCACCTTGAATTTATTGATATAGTTTATCCACCAGCAAAAAACATTATGTATGAAAAATAAAGAAATTAAAAACAGAAAACATGAAAATAATTTTTTTTGTAATTTCTTTACATTTTTTCTTTTTTTTCCCTTGCAGATGATTACCAAGTTCTACAACTCCATCTTCAACATTTTCTGAGAGAGAGTTGTCTCTCTTTGATTCACAACTTCGGTGTATGGAGTTCTGCCAGCTTTCTTTAATCAATACTGACATTTAAATCCTTTTTACAATGTGTTACCAAGTTTATGGAACAACTATAGGGGTTTCAAATTTATTAATTGAAATGCCTTCTCTGAAATGTGTTCTGTCCCATGAGTGACTAGTATTCCATTATGTTATATTTAATGCAATTGCACATGGAGTTTTTCTGAAAGGTACACTTTGTCACTGGTGCAATAGTTATACGGAATCACACGGAGCATGTGTCTATAGGAATGAAAGAAATGAATTCATTGATTGATGAATTGAGTTGTGAAACTTCATATTTCATTATCCAGATTAATTTTTAATGATTTTTCTTTTGTCAACAAATTATACCTACAAATGTATATTAATCAAAATGTTCCCTTTTTATATATATTATGTATTGTACTTAACATTTATTCTGTGTGTGAACTTGAAAATCTCATGATGCAAATTCATTATATTTATAGTTTTAACTCAGTAGAACACTTGAATTTGAAGTCCGTCCATGCATGCACACCTATGTTTAGTAAGAAAAATATACCTGGCTCCTGGATTCTTAGTTTTGAGAGAGAGACATTCTGGAATAATGAAGTTGTGAAAGAATTGGATGACTGAATGTCATTATTTATTTTTTTGTGAATAAAACATGATATATCAATGTTCACAAGGGTTCTCGTGTGTTTTTATGTTGAGTTGCAAAATTTATTGATTTAAATAACTTCAGTTCCATATTGAATTCTTTGTTAAACCAGACAACAAAACAGCAAGACTTCATTATGTTTTCAGTTTTGTACAGAACTGTACTGAATAATGAGTTTGTGTTCAAAAGTTTGATTCATACCATTTTACTGAGAGAAAAAAAAAGCTGAAATTAATTCTCCTCATTCCCAACCCCACTCTCAGAAATTTCCAAAACTTAGTGTTGAAGGTAATTTTGTGCAGTTATGATTTTTTTCTTTATAAATTATACATACTGTATCCTATTTTACAGTCTTTTAAAGAACGAAATCAGATAAATCTCCTGTTTTCCTCTCACAAAAGTGGCAATTTGGAATCTTGAAAAGTATGTCATAAATTTTCTGTTGATTTGTGATACATGTATTTGCCAGGTTTTGCTCTTTGAAAACCAGGAGATCCATAGGACAAGGCCGCATCTGGTCTCCGGGACTCTCTGCCTTTTAAACTTAGAGAATGTGCTTCACTGCCTAGTTTTAAAAAGGATCTTAAAACACATCTTTTCAAAATAGCTTTTAATTTGTGATTTCTTAATATAAATATGGTTTTAATTTAGATAGTGACATTATGATTAATTTTATTCAAATGTTTTTTTTTTATGTATTTTAAACATTATCTCTTATGATATATTTTAATTGTAAAGCGCTTTAGAGGACTCAAATTGATAAAGCACTATATAAAATATATACTATTTATATTACTATTAATATAGGAAGCAATTTATATGGGGAAGGGGGGGTACAACCAAACATTTGTATTTTGGGGGCACTTCCAAATAAAAATTCCTTGACAAGCAAAACCAGGTCATCAGACGTAATTCGAGAAGGGGCACATCCAAAAAATAGCATTGTTTTCTACAGTAATACTATATGTACTAGGCAATCTTTTTTTGGGGGGGAGGGGGGTCTCCCCCCTTGGTTCATACGGGTAAAGCTTGTGTCAATTACTAACTATACAAGCACGTTGACGGAACTTGATTTGTATTGGAAAAGAAATACTAGAATAATGCCTTAAAGAAACACTATACATGTACATATATGTACGATTTTATTCTTACGCTTTATATTATAGTAACATGCTAATGGTACTCATTGGTTGTCGTAAATATCTTGAACCCGCAAATGTTTTTCAACCTTCTGAAATATATATGTCAGAAGTCAGAACGGGTTTCAATAACGGTTCAAACGGATAAAGCTTGTGTTGTTGACTCTTAGTTCGCAAAGCAGCCAATTCATATGTTTAGAATGGTAATTGATTCTACAAATGATGTACTGAACACACGTAAGGATTTGTAATGTATACATGTTCGTGTACAGGGTTTGTATTATACATTCGTGTGCTTTGTTTCCTCGTTGTAGAGCTTGGACAGAGATGAGTTATCTTCTTTGAAGAATTTGCTTCCTATGATTTTTGTCTTCATCAAAACAAAACAGGAGGACTAATATATATTGGAGTATATTGAGGTTTAGAAATTATTCGTTGTCCAGTGAAAATATGGTCACGGTAAGAAGCTGCCTCAGAGGGTAGATTTTAGTAGGATATAGGAAAGAAGTACTGAGTAGGGTTATTACAATCACTGAATTCTAAATCTTTCAATCTTATGAAAACCATTTCCCTTAATCAATCCATTAACTCTAAACTAGTTAGAACCGGTTTGAAAAGTCACCTGTAATAAAGATTTTTCAGCAGAGGGCTCTTCGATCAATGAAACAATTACATGTACCATGACCTACAGATCAATAGTACAATATTTTATGTACTTAAAGCTACTTTTTACGATTATAGCGTGTATGTTTTACACATTTTATATATAGACATAAATATTAACAGTTAAATGTCTGTTAATGTAGGACTAACATTTTCAACCATTGCAGAAAAAAATACATCCCGCTTGTAAACGTGGTTTATGTATTTTTGCTTCAGTGGTTATAACCGTTACATCGATCTTGAATTAACAAAGAAATCATTTGATTGGTTGAATATTGGCATTCATTGTAATCAACATAAGAGAATTGAATTAAATATTTTTTTTTCATAAATTACAGGAGGTGTGCATACATTTTTTTTTTTTTGAAGTTCATACAAACAAATGTGCAATCGTAAATGAATGCCAGAATAATGTCCTAAAAAGTGATAAAAAATTGTATAGATTTATAAGGATGATTTCAGAAAGGTAGACTTTTGAACACCAAAGTTTATAATATCTTAATATTTTAGAAATTTGATATTTGCATCACATACAATTTGTACAACCAAAATAAGTCCAAAAATGTGTCCAATCCGGACATCCATTTTTTTGTATCACTTTACACTATTGAAAAAATGTTTTTGGAGTTTGAGAAAATTGAATTTCTATTATATAAAGATATAAAAAATGTTGAGTTTACTGTTTCATTTAATTGCGGCATTGGGTACCTTACTTTACATACATCATATGCAGGGAAAAAACAGTGTAAACGCGAATGAGAAAGTCTTTTATCCAAGGTGCATGTATTTTGTGCCAAATTTATTTGGTATAGAATGGCTATAGAAAGAGATCGTAAATAAAAAAAAAACAGATATAGCTAGATGACGGACAAACATCGAAATATTTTTTATCTTTTTTTTACCACACGACATTGTACATATAATACATAGAGAATAATACATGGCAAAATCTGTATCACACCCCATATCAACCCGAGACTCCAATATCAGCCCGAGGGCCGAAGGCCAGAGGGCTGATATTGGTCGAGGGTTGATATTGGGTGTGATACAGATTTTGTCATGTATTGTTGTTTTTATTATATATTTGAAAATAGTGTCAAAAAAATCATATATAAACCTGTAAATTAATTAATTCTTAATAATTGAATATGTTCTTTTTTTTCGTTGAATTTCCTTTCATTATTTTTTTTCCAAAGGCAATGCATACAGCGATAAGAAATGAAATAATTATTAATTAAACAAATAATTATTTTGAATAGCATAAAATATCTGATGAAAATTTACAATTTAAATAAACTTTATAAACAATTAATAGAAAAAGATCCGAGGTACTCCGAATGAAAAATACAGAGATGTTCCGGAAAGGTGTAATAAAGGGTGTGATAAAGGGTAAAATAAAGGGTGCTGATACAGGGTATGTAATACAGGGCGCGTGCCTGTGTTCATATCAGGGATGCAAAAATCCTGTATTATTGAACAAATATATAATAAATGTATTTATCCCATGTTTACCCCTTTATCCCGTGGATATGACTCATTGGATAATTTTTTCATAATCCACAGTTGTGACGTCACAATGGTTTTTGCGTTAGCGCGATGAAGTAAAATAAAGTGGAGTCCTATATAAAACAGTGTAAAACATTGGTTGTGAAGTATTAAACATGGGATAAAAAGAATCTCCCATGATTTGTAGTTGGATATGACTTTTATCCAACTCGTTGTGTGTTTTTATCCCCTCGCCAAGGCTCGGGGATTAAAAAAACACACAACTCGTTGAATAAAAATCATATCCAACTACAAATCATGGGAGATCCTATATATATACATATGTATGTATGTACATGAATAAGCTTAACACTTAGTACTGAAAATATCAGTGCTTTTAATTTTGTACACGAAACTCTCCATACTAGAGCCACTATGCTGTTGAAAGAAATGGCTAGTTTTAAATCAACATCTTGTTTTCAAGAAACTCTCATTGAAACTGAGTTCACATATCATCATACAGTGTAACTGTGCTTCAGTCATGTGTTGGGTTATTCGGGCACTCGTTCTCTGTCATTATGACGGAAACACAGAGTCCATTACTTCTCGAGGATGACACCACTAACATAATTGTGAAAAGACATATTACGTTATAAATATATAGATTCTAAAAAATAAAAAAAATATTATATCATTCAACAACATGAATATTATGATTTATCTAGGCCTCGAGTCTTGGTCTAGTTCGCGCTTGATCTTATGATCTTGTCATATTTTATTTACACATTCCACATACTGTTCAGACTTTCCAGTCCACATCTCATGAATACAACTCAATTACAGTTTTCTTCATTTTGATGGCGGCCCTTGACTTTTAATGAAATATTTATTCAAAAATTTTATTGATGTGGGTGTAAGAGCTTACGCGATGAAGAGTTTAAATTCTGTTTTTTTAAATCACCCAAATCCGCTAACGCCCGAAGTTCGTTCAAGAAAGTGCGTTGACCACGATCAAATTCTCGACTGTCTTTAGGGTTGCTAAGCCGGCTGCAGTGTTTTACGCATACAACCCCAGATCATTTAAAGCTATTGTAACATTTAATAAATGATAAATGAATCTATGACGTCACGGCTTTGAGATTATGCACAAAAGACTGGTTCAATGTCCCTCGTTTTAGTTTGAGTGAAAGGTCTATATTAAGGTTTGCACAATTTATGAATTTTCAATACGTCTTATGTCAAATGGATTTATTACACTAAACTACAGACTATTTACTTTCGAAATATTGACATTAATATTCAATATCCAGAATGCCTCACTCCATGCTGTTACTGGAATTTGGCGGCAAATATCCGGGGTACTCTGAGGACAGGCCACGTGGTGAGAAAGATGGAGGACCAATAATCTAAAGTAAGTAAAAGTGTTTGAATGAGAGAGAGAGAGAGAGTTTAATGGAACACGTGGCATATGATTACTTTTTGAAATAATGATAACCAGTTGACTATGTTGTGTATAAACCGGTTAATAGTTTAATTTTTGTAGACTAAACCCTATAGGTTGCTATTTTGATAATTAAGTTACTTTACTGTAAGGGAATGGACGTTTTTATTCTGTATCTGTTCGATTAATTTGAATATCTAATACTTTAAAACAAAATTCATATAATTTTACAACAAAATGAAATAAGAAATCAGAACCATTTCCTTATCATGACTATAAAACTGAACATCGTGTTTATT